AGCCTTAGCCACCTCTCTAAACTTTTCAAGGACACAAAGCAACTCTATGACCGCAGGGACATCCTCGCGCTGGGCGCCAGGCCAATGATCTCCGGCCCACTTTTTTATTCTAACACCTTCTTCAACTTGGATACGCTGGGCGAAAAGAGACGCGAGCGCGCCCGAAAAAACCACGATCAACGCATATAAAACCTGGGGACCCACTCCCAGCGCCCCCGGGACACGCCCAAACCCCAGATCCCGGCGCGGCCCAAGGAGCGACCGCCTTCCCTTAAAACACATATCCCCAACAGGGCACCACTAGAGCGACGAGATCCGTAAGCATGCTGAATAATAATAATAATAAGATTCTTTGGCTGGAAGATCTCTTCCGTTATCCACCACTTTCTGGATATAATAATAATAATAATAATAATAATAATAATAATAATAATAGGATTCTTTGGCTGGAAGATCTCTTCGTTATCCACCACTTTCTGGATATTATAATAATAATAATAATAATAATAATAATAATGGGATTCTTTGTCTGGAAGATCTCTTCGTTATCCACCACTTTCTGGATATTATAATAATAATAATAATAATAATAATAATAATAATAATAATAGGATTCTTTGGCTGGAAGATCTCTTCCGTTATCCACCACTTTCTGGATAATATAATAATAATAATAATAATAATAATAATAATAATAATAATAATGGGATTGTCTGGAAGATCTCTTCGTTATCCACCACTTTCTGGATATTATAATATAATAATAATAATAATAATAATAATAATAATAGGATTCTTTGGCTGGAAGATCTCTTCGTTATCCACCACTTTCTGGATATTATAATATAATAATAATAATAATAATAATAATAATAATAATAGGATTCTTTGGCTGGAAGATCTCTTCCGTTATCCACCACTTTCTGGATATAATAATAATAATAATAATAATAATAGGACTCTTTGTCTGGAAGATCTCTTCATTATCCACCACTTTCTGGATATTATAATATAATAATAATAATAATAATAATAATAATAATAGGATTCTTTGGCTGGAAGATCTCTTCCGTTATCCACCACTTTCTGGATATAATAATAATAATAATAATAATAATAATAGGACTCTTTGTCTGGAAGATCTCTTCGTTATCCACCACTTTCTGGATATTATAATATAATAATAATAATAATAATAATAGGATTATTTGGCTGGAAGATCTCTTCGTTATCCACCACTTTCTGGATATTATAATATAATAATAATAATAATAATAATAATAATAATAGGATTCTTTGGCTGGAAGATCTCTTCGTTATCCACCACTTTCTGGATATAATAATAATAATAATAATAATAATAATAATAGGATTCTTTGGCTGGAAGATCTCTTCGTTATCCACCACTTTCTGGATATTATAATATAATAATAATAATAATAATAGGATTATTTGGCTGGAAGATCTCTTCGTTATCCACCACTTTCTGGATATAATAATAATAATAATAATAATAATAATAGGATTCTTTGGCTGGAAGATCTCTTCGCTATCCACCACTTTCTGGATATTATTATTATTATTATTATTATTATTATTATTATTCTCATCATTATAATTCTGGCTCTCACTCACTGATGGAATTCTTTGGCTGGAAGATCTCTTGGTAATCCTCCGCGTTCTGGATTTCGGCAGTGGATTCCTTCTCTTCCCGGTCGTCTTCACTGCTGGGGCTGCGCCTCTCGCTCTCTGAGTTGTGTTTGACTCTGCAACGCAATGTTTACATGGTTCTGTCTCCGGCCCCAAAGCAGTGCCCCCCAAAAGTGTTTTGGACCGGGTCTTCCATTGTCCCCAGTGAGTGGGGATGGTGGGATATGGAGCTCAAGCCATTTAGACTGGGCATGGGCCAATTTGGGCCTTCCCTCCAGGGGTTTTGGACTGCAACTCCCACCATTCCTAACAGCCTCCGGCTCCTTCCTTTTCCCTTGCACTAAACCTCAGTGTTAGTAGGCCTCAGTGCGAGGTAAACCTCAGTGTTAGTAGGCCTCAGTGTGAGGTAAACCTCAGTGTTAGTAGGCCTCAGTGCGAGGTAAACCTCAGTGTTAGTAGGCCTCAGTGCGAGGTAAACCTCAGTGTTAGCAGACCTAAGTGCGAGGTAAACATCAGTGTCAGTAGGCCTCAGTGTGAGGTAAACCTCAGTGTTAGTAGGCCTTAGTGTGAGGTAAACCTCAGTGTTAGTAGGCATCAGTGCGAAGTAAACCTCCGTGTTAGTAAGCCACAGTGTGAAGTAAACCTCAGTGTCAGTAGGCCTCAGTGTGAGGTATACCTCAGTGTTAGTAGGCCTTAGTGTGAGGTAAACCTCAGTGTTAGTAGGCCTCAGTGTGAGGTAAACCTCGGTGTTCATAGGCCTCAGTGTGAGGTAAACCTCAGTGTTAGTAGGCCTTAGTGTGAGGTAAACCTCAGTGTTAGTAGGCCTCAGTGTGAGGTAAACCTCAGTGTTAGTAGGCCTCAGTGTGAGGTAAGTAAACATCAGTGTTAGTAGACCTCAGTGCGAGGTAAACATCAGTGTTAGTAGGCCTCAGTGCGAGGTAAACCTCAGTGTTAGTAGGCCTCAGTGTGAGGTAAACCTCAGTGTTAGTAGGCCTCAGTGCGAGGTAAACCTCAGTGTTAGTAGGCATCAGGGTGAGGTAAACCTCAGTGTTAGTAGGCCTCGGTGTGAGGTAAACCTCAGTGTCAGTAGGCCTCAGTGTGAGGTAAACCTCAGTGTCAGTAGGCCTCAGTGTGAGGTAAACCTCAGTGTCAGTAGGCCACAATATGGGGTAAAGGGAAGAGGCCTGAGGGTGTAAGGAATGGTGGGAGTTACAGTCCAAAACATTCAGAAGGCCAAAATTTGCCCGTGCCTGTTGTATATCCTCGTCCTGCTCACCGCTGGGGCTTGCTGCATGCAGTGGAGGGCCGTTCATAGATGCGGCGGAGGGAGGATCCGACTGACGGGCTCTGCTGTACAAGGGGCCGGTCGTCCCGGATCAGGCCCTGGAGGCCGGAGCCACATCTGGTGACGCGGTTGAGGTCCACCACGAAGGAGGAGACCACGCTTTGTGAGAAGGAGACGCCGATCTGGGAAAGGAGAAGGCAGACGGGTTGAATTCCAAGTTGCATTTGCAGAGCAGCAGAAGGTAAAAGTGTCAGGTACGCAAGAAGCCAGGAAGATCCATTCATCTTATACAAGAATTTTCCCCTGAAATATTTATTAATCTCATCTACAGATATATAGGCATTTCCCCCTGCAAGCTTCTGCAATACCAAGGTACCTATATATCTATATCTATGTATATATTTATCTATCTATCTATCTACATTAATTTAATATATGAATTTCTCCTCATATGTTTGCAAATCTTTGCAAATCCGATATATAGATATTGATAAATATATAAATGTACCTATATATCTGTATGTACATGTGTATATATATAAATAATTTTATATATGAATTTTCCTCTCACATGTTTGCAAATCTTTGCAAATCCTATATAGATATAATTATCTACAGAGAGAGAGAGAGAGAGAGAGATGAATATAGATATATAGGGCTTGCAAATATTACCAAGGGAAATGCACACACAAATATATATAGAAATGTCTGGATATGAATACAGATATATAGGGCTTGCAATTATTACAGAGGGAAATGCACACACAAATATATCTAGACATGTCTAGATATGGATATATAGGGCTTGCAATTATTACAGGGGGAAATGCACACACACACGAATATATATAGACAAGTCTAGATATGAATATAGATATATAGGGCTTGCAAATATCACAGGGGGAAATGCACACACACACAAATATATATATAGACATGTCTAGATATGAATACAGATATATAGGGCTTGGAAATATTGCAAGGAAGAAATGCACACACAAATATATATAGACATATCTAAATATGAATATAGATATATAGGGCTTGCAAATATTACAGGGGGAAATGCACACACAAATATATTTAGACATGTCTAGATAGATATGAATGTAGATCTATAAGGCTTGCAAATATTGCAGGAGAAATGCGCGCACACACACACACACACACATATATAGAGAGATGTCTAGATAAATATAAACATAGATATATAGGGCTTGCAAATATTACCGGGGAAAATGCACATGCAAATATATATAGACATGTCTAGATATGAATACAGATATTTAGGGCTTGCAAATATTACTGGGGAAATGCACACAAATATATAAAAACATGTCTAGATATGAATATAGATATATAGGGCTTGCAAATATTGCAAGGGAAATGCACACACACACACACATAGAGAGAGATGTCTAGATAGGTATAAACATAGATATATTGGGCTTGCAAATATTGCAGGAGGGAAATGCACATATATAGAGGATTTGCAAACGTTTCAAGGGGAAATGCATGTGTGAAATTAGTACATATAATTATAGATCTATGGCTAGTTCTGCATTGTTTATATAGGCATTGAATGTTTGCCTGTTAATATGTTGGAAGCTGACCTAAGTCCCCATGGAGAGATGGGGCAGGAGACAAATTAAGTTCTATTATTATTATTATTATTATTATTATTATTATTATTATTAGCAAGGCCCCCTTGAGTGACTCACCAGCTGGTTGTTGCAGATGGAGAGGTCGGCCACTTTACCCCAGCTGACGGGCACCACGTCAAAGCAGCGCTCCGGTTCCCACCCGTAGACCCGCAGGGCGTCCTGGCAGCCGGCAAAGAGGCAGCAGCCGTCCGGGTTGAAGAGGACGCACCTGGAATGAAAGGGAGAGCGGGCGCTCAGGTGGGCCTGGCTGTTGTTGTTGTGTGCCTTCGAGCAATTTCCACCTTGCATCGACTGGAAGGTAACCACATCCCAAGGTTTTCTTGGCAAGGTTTCTTTGGAGAGCATTTGCTGTTGTCTTTGTCTAAAGCAGAAAATCTTGCCAACCAGAAGGTTTGCAGTTCAGAGCCACGGGTCGGGGTGAGCTCCCGCCGTCAGCCCTAGCTTCTGCTTACCCAGCAGTTCGAAAAATGTGAGTAGATCAACAGGTACTACCCCTTGGCAGGGAGGAAAAAGGCGCCCAGGAAGACATGCCAGCAATTCAGTTAGGAAGGTGCCTATGGACAGCAGGCTCCTTGGCGTGGAAAAATGGAACAAGAGCACCTCCCCATGGCTGGAGTTAAGCACAGCCTCCAGAGGCCAGAGATGAAAAAGAGGGAAGCCGTGCCGCTGTCTATGTACTGCCTGTCTTTGTTGTCAATTGTATAATGGCAATGAATGTTTGCCATATATGTATTCTGTAATCCGCTCTGAGTCCCCTCTGAGAGATAGAGCGGAATATAAATAAAGTATATTA